AATAAATAACCTTTAAAAAAAATCAAATATATGCCAATTCATTTAAGTCTATTAATTTCTCCTAAGCAATTAAATGTTCATATCCAGATTTAATTCACCAATGCCATCAGGAATATTAAAATGCCTCAGAGCCAGCATTTAGCCTAATAGTGAAGATGCCCACATCCCATATCAGAGTCCCTGGGTTTGAGGCCAGCATTGTGATAGTAGCAGACTAAGCTACTAACTGCAATGCCGGAATTCCATATGAGCACTGATTTGAGTCCTGGCTGTTCCACTTCCAATCCAGCTCCCTGCTAATGTGCCTGGGAAAGCAGAGGATGGCCCAAGTACTTGGGCTCTGCCACTCACGTGGGAGACCCAGATGGAGTTCCAGCCTCCTGGTTTCAGTCTGGCCCAGCCCTGGCCATTGTGGCCCCTTAGGGATTGTAGCAGCAGACAGAATATCTGTCTCACCTCTCCAACTCTTGACTTTCAAAATAAGTAAAATAAATTTAAAAAAAAAGAAAGTGTCTGGGTTGGATTCCCAGCCTCAGCTCCTAACTCCAGCTTCCTGAAAATACAGACCCTGGCAAGCTGCATTAATAGCTAATAACTGAGTTCCTGCCACCTGTGTAGGAAACCAGAATTGAGGTGCTAGTTAGGATCAGACACTGGAGGCATTTGGAAAATAAAACAAGAGGGGCAAGCACATGTGGCTTAGCAGGTAAAGCCACCGCCTGCCATTGGTGGCATCCCATACGGTTGCTGGTTCAAATCCTGGCTGCTCCACTTCTGATCTGGCTCTCCGCTATGGCCTGGGAAAGCAGAAGATGGTCCAAGTCCTTGGGCCCCTGCACCTAGATGGGAGACCGAGAAGAAGCTCCTGGTTCCTGGCTTTGGGATCGGCGCAGCTCCAGCTGTTGCAGCCAATTGGGGATGAACCAGCGAATGGAAGACCCCTCTCTCTCTGCCTCTCCTTCTCTCTTTCAAATAAATAAATAAATCTTAAAAAAAAAAAAAGTGAACAGGATTCAAACCCAGGCACTTCAGTATGGGACGCTGTGGGTTTCCCAAGCAGCGTCTGAACCAGAAGGCAAATGCCCAACTCTATATTCCAATTTCTGCCTTCTTCTGTCCTCACCACCTATATGTCATATAGATTCCAACTGAATTTTGTAAACTCACAGACCCAGCTCTTACAGCAGGGTTAGGATTTGAGAAATAATTACTCTCAAAAAGCCAACATACAAAAACCACCCTTGCTCCCAAATGCAGGGTAGAGCAACAGCATGGCCATAAATCTAAGATAAACTGCAGCTTTCTAAATACTGCTATTAGAATCACTGAAAAAGCTTTAAAAAACAAAACAAAACAAAAAAATACTGATGCCTAGTTCCATAACAGAGGTTCTGACTTAACAGGTTTAGGACACACCATGGGCATTTAGAGTTTATAAATCTCAGATGATTCTAATCAAATGAGCCCCACTAGGAAAAAGGAGTAAGGCAACATCCTGAGGAAACACCCAAACAAAATCTAAAATCTGACAAACTGCCTCAGTCTCTTCAGTAAATCAATGACTCAAGAAGAAAACTATTCAAAAGAGATAGAAACAATCAATGCAATGCATAAACATTTTCCCAAGATTAATTTCAACTAAATATAAAAAGACACTCTAAGAACAAAGAGAAAATCTGAATAAGGACTCTCATACTGGCACTTAAAACATAAAAACCAGTCCTTTTTAGAGGTGCACTCTGAAGATCTGAGATGAATGTGACATCTGAAATTCGCTGTCAAATACCCAGCATGTTAACCAATGAAATAAATGGCCACAAGAATTTGCCTAAATACAGTGGAGCAGAGATAACAGAGCCGACACTCTTTGATGATCATCAGTAAAGCTGAATAGGTACCTGGCGGGTGATTCACTAATCTATTTTTCTGTATTTGAAGATTTCTGATAAAATAAAATTTAAAAAAAATCCCTCATAGAAACCAAAGTAAACAGAGCAAGTTGGTTACAGAGTCAAACCTGTTGATGTGGTACATAGATCATTATATTATGCTCAGCTGAAAAATGGAGACTTTGGATGGAAGTCTAGAAACCACACATACCTCCTCCACAAAAACTCTTTGCACAGAAGATTCACTGTCTTCCATTGTGTGCAGGGGGGTGCAGCAGGAAAAGGGAGGAGGAAGAGGATATCCACCAGACAGACCACATCAGCCAGCAATGAGACAACAGCTGTCTTGCCACAGCAAGCTGTCAGTTCAGAGAACTGCAGTGATTTGAAACAAAATTAACATTTTCCAGTAGGGTTTTAAGCAATCCCAGTGACAAAAAACAAAAGGCTTCCATGGGGGGGTGAACCAACAAAAGGAAGACCTCTCTCTCTCTAACTCTGTCAAATAAACAAAAATAAAGGCTTCCATAAATGTTGTGACTTTTCCAGCAGTTACAGCACTGTATTTGCTTCAGAAACTGAATTTTCCCTCCAGCAGCGTAACTGCAGTTTGTGTTGTCAATCATGATTTTCTGCTTCACCAGGAAGGCTACTTTATATCACCAACGTAAGTAAACTAGTGAAACAGCAGTCCTTTAAAAAAAAAAAATCTGAAGATACCAAACACAAGAAATCCAGCCATTATGCAGAGATTTTAGAACTCACTCTGCAAAACGTCCACGTTCAAGCATTCACTCTTTAAATTCTAATTCTTTGGCACCTTCACCCAACTTTCAGTGTTCACTCCTAGCTGTGTACATAGATGACACACCCCCTGGCTTATCTGCGTAATTCAGGAAATCTAAGGAAGGACATCCTCTCACCCTCCATTTGCAAGTCTCAGACCATCCAGGGGCCAGGACTGAGGCACAATGGGTTACAGCCCCAGCCTGCAGTGCTGGCGTCCCATACGGGGGCTGATTCGAGCCCAGCTGCTCCTCTTCCAATCCAGTTCCCTGCTAGTGCACCTGGGAAAGCAGTGGAGGATGGCCCAAATCCTTGGGACCTTGTACCCAGGTGGGAGACCCGGAAGAAGCTCCTGACTTCAGAAAGGCTCAGATTCGGCTGTTGCAGCCATTTGGGGAGTGAACCAGTGGATGGAAGACCTCTCTGTTTCCCTACTTCTTTGTAACGCATTCAAATAAGATAAAATAAATCCAAAAATACATATATATATATATATATACATGTGGGCACTTTCCATCTCTCTGCTTCTTTCTCACTCTAACTCTGGCCCTTCAAAAAAAAAAAAAAAAAAAAAAGACCACGCAGAAGCGCTTCTCCTGCAACTGTTTTCCTTATACAAAACGGTGACTATGTCCTGGCAACTGCAGACATCCTTCAGCCCAATACAGAAAAGGGCAAATGGTCCTGAAAAACGTTTTCCTCCAAATGAATGTCTGCAACTGCTACTGTTTTAAATAAGCGTCACTTACAGACTGGGAGAGCAACTAAGCAGCTTCCCGAAGTACAAGGCAGAGAGAAGTGCAGTCAGTCTGGCGCTGTGGTGCAGTGGGTTACTCCTCCCGCCCCGCGGCGCCGCATCCCATACAGGCTGGTTTGAGTCCCGGCTGCCCCTCTTCCGATCCCGCTCTCTGCTACAGGCCTGGGAAAGCAGTAGATGGCCCAAGTCCTTGGGCCCCTGCACCCGCGTGGGAGACCGGGAAGTTCCTGGCTCTGGATCGGCCAGTCCCCGCCGCTGCAGCCATTTGGGGAATGAACTAATGGACGGAAGACCTTTCTCTCTGTCTCTCCCTGTCACTGTCTGTAATTCTACCTCTCTAAATAAATAAATCCTAAAAAAATAGGGAGAAGTGTAATCCACGTTAACAGCACTCAAAAGAAAAAAGAAAAAACCCTGCCTACATAATGCCCGTATTAAGTTCACACAGCAGCAAGATCCGCGTAAAGCCCACCAACACAAATCAACTTTGTACGGCAGTCAACACGCACAGTACGGCCTGGAGAAGCAAAGGGGCCGGACCGGCACACCCGGGCAGCGGCCACGTCCTTACGAAGCTGCCGAAGGGAAGGGAAAAATAAAAATAAAGAAAGCAAGCAAGCTAAACACGGCAGCACGCTCCACCTTCAGACACCAACCATTCCATTCCTAGGGAACAAGTGGTCGGCAGGCGTGGGCGGGGCCAGAGAGAGAGGCGGCCAATCAGAGCTCCAGTTACAAGTGCGGCCGGCCGGGCCAGCGATGAGAGCGTCCGGCTGACTGGCCGGCGGGCGCTGGCCGCACTCCCCGTAGGCGGTCACACCTGGAAAGCCACCGCGGCCGCAGGACCTCCGCGCCGGAGTCGCCCCCGGCGCCGCCCCCCGCGCTGCTTCCTGCCAAAACAAGCCCCGCCGCGTCCAACCCCACACCAGCGCGCGGGGTCGGCGGCGGGGGAGGGGGCCGGGCCGGGGGCCGCGCCCCTCCCCCGCCGCCCCGGAGCCCCCGCGGGGGCCGCGTCCCGCGCTCACCAATTCCTCGTAGCTCCTGCTGTGCTCGTTCCCCTCCCAGTCCAGCCGCTTCGGCAACAGCTGCAAAGACAGCGAGGGCGCCCCGAGTGAGCCCCGCGCCCCGGCCCGCGCGGGGACGGGGCGGGGGGGGCAGGGCGGGGGCGGGCGGGGGCGCACAGACCTGGTACTGCTCCAGCTCCTGCACCAGCACCTGCGGCAGAGACGCGCGGTCAGCGCGGGCACGGGCTCGACGCGCGCCCGGCTGCAGCCCCGCGCCCCACCCGCGACCCCGCGACCCCGCGACCCCGCGCGGCGGCGGCGGCGGCGGGGACCCCGGGGTGGCCGCCGCCGCCGCCGCCAACCGCGGGCCGCACTCACCTGGGCCGCTCTCCGACACGGGCCGGCCGATAGGTACCGCGCGATGAGGAAGTACAGCTCTGCGGGGAGACGGGGGAGCGGGTCAGCACCGGCCGCGCCGGGGCCGGGGCGCCGCGGCGGGAGCGGCCCCGCGTCTTACCCGACTCGATGAGGGGCACCGGGCGTCGGGCGGGCGAGGGCTCCGCCATGGCCGGGCGCGGGCAGGGAGGCGGGAGCAGGCGACAGGAGCGTGTAGGCCGCGCCGAGGCCTGCCGGGGCCGGCGTCCCTCTCCTCAGGCGCGCGCCTCCGCTGCCGCCATGCCGTGCGCGCCGCCAGCTCCCGACCCCTCCGCGGGGGAGGAAGTAGTCCCTCCGCCGAGCGGAAAAGTAGTCCCTCCGCGGCGGGGGGCGGGCGGCGTGAGGCGACCCCGCCCCGCCGCGGGGAGCCCGCCGCGCCGCTTCGCTGCGGCCTCCGGGGCGGCAGGGAGGAGGGCGTGGGGGTGGGCCGAGGCCCCGGCCCGGGCGGCGGCGGCGGCGGCGGCGGCGGCGGGGGGAGGGGAGCGCGCGTGGCCCCGGATCCCTGCGCGCGGTGAGGCGCCGCCGGCTTTGTGAGGGGGCGGGCGGTGGGGGCGGAGGTCCGGCCGGCGGCTGGCCGAGGGCGGGTCACTGCTGTCCCCTGCGGGAGCCGAGGCCCCGACGCGGAGCCGCCGGGCAGCGGGCCGGCCGCGGTCACCCGCCCCGGGGCCGCCTGGACAGGGACGCTTCACGGCCGGTCATCGGGGGGCCAGGGTGCGCGCCCTCCGCGAGAGCCGGTCCGCTCGCTGGCGCTGGAGGACGCACGAGGCTCGAAACGGAGGCGCCGCCGCACCCCCGCGCCCGGGGACTGTCCCCCGGGGCGGCCGCCGAGGCTGAGCGGCGAGGAGTGGACGCTGGCCGGGAGAAGGCGTTCGGGAGGCCCCGAGCCCGGCGGTCAGGGGCCGAGGGCGCGGCCCGCAGCTGGCGGCCGAGCGGAGCTCGAGGGAGCGCGGCGGGGAAGGGGACCTGGGCGGGTGGTCAGCGCCGGCAGCCGCCCCTGCGGAGCGGGAAGCCGGCGTCCGGCGGTTGGGGGAGTGTGTGCTTAGGCATCGCGTGGGGGCCAGGCACGGATTCCGGGCTCGCACGGGCCCAGCTTAGGCGTCTCACCTGGCCGCCCGGTGCGCCCCGCGGGGAGCCGCACGAGTGCCCCCGGGGCGTGCAGCGCACCTGCACCGTCTCGGCCCGGTGCCCTCGGCGGCGGCGGCGGCGTGCGCACCCCTGGTCCGGGGCCTCCGTTTGCCAGTCGTTAGCTGGGGGACTATTAAGTCATTTCCCCTCTAGGTCTTATCTGTCCTCTGAAGTTTGTGTCTACCTTGTACAGTTGTGAGGGTTAAAGTGTGTTTTCAGCAAACGATAAGCACCATGTACTAGCTAGCGCCTATTTACACCAAACAGCAAAAACGCTTGTATAGGGAGGGAGGCAGATGTGCGTAAGGTACCACATGTTCGGGCAAGTACACGAGTGTTCTCAGCATCTGTTAGCAAACTCTGCAAGTGGTGGCGATAACAGACGAAGGAGTGACCGCAGTGTTGCCATCAGAGGACTTGGTGTCTTTTAGGGAAAACACATGGAAACGAACAGCGACAAGATTTGGGCCGTAGGTTGCCTGCGGGAGGGGAGGTGTTAGGGAGTGGCCCAGCAGCAGTGCTTGGGGGGGGGGACCCCAGGCATAGGAACAACAAAGAGGAGTCAGGAATTTCATTTCAAGATGAAGGAACTCAGGGAGGGTGACTCTGGGCTGAGTAAGAGCAGCGAGACGTTGGAATTGGGAGGAATTAAAGGGCTCTTAGCTAGCAAGGATCTATTTTCCATTTTAGGATGGATTTCAGAAAGGATTAAGACCAAGGAGCAGAAAAACCGCTTTATAGAACCTTGCATACAAAAGAAATGAAGGTGCATTCGTTCAATAGTTAAAAGGGTGGAGAGGAAGAGACCAGAAATGCATAGGACTTCAGCAACATAAACAGGCAAAATAAGAACCACAGAAGTCTCGGGCTTGGGGCTTAGTGGGGCAGGGTTCCGCCCTCAGCTGAGCTGGGGCTGAATGGCTGTGGCTAAACTGTTGCATGGGTAACTGCAGGAGTTGAAGTTACAGCCTGCTCTTGCAGGACAGTGATCTGAAGCTATGAGACAGCGGAGTTAGCAAATGACGGGGGAGAAATGAAGCTTTGCAACATTGACCAGAGAGTGTGTATTTCATTTGTAACCAATACCACAAAGTAAAGGCCCCCAAAAGATATTACAAGAGTTTGTATCCCAGACAGTGGCCATTGTCTGAAACTATAAGGTGGAGCGAGCAGCATGGTAAGTGTTGCAACAGACCAGAAGCATGACCTGAATCTTTCTTTCCCTGGTACATCCATCAGAAATACTCCTCCTAGATTTTATTTTTTAAAAAACAATTAGCAATTGGGTATTTTTTAAAGATTTATTTATTTGAAAGGCAGAGTTACAGAAAGAGAGCTTCCATCCACTGGTTCACTTCCCAACTGGCAGCAACAGCTGGGCCTGTCTGAAGCCAGGAGCCAGGAGCTTCCTCCAGGTCTCCCACATGGGTGCGGGAGGAGCCCAAGTGCTTGGTCCATCCTCCACTGCCTTCCCAGGCCATTGGCAGGGAGCTGGGTGCGAAGGGGAGCAACCGGCATCCATATGGTAGATGGTGTGCTGGCTCTGCAGACAGCAGCTTTACCCACTACCCAACAGTGCTGGCCCCTCCTAGATTTTAAATAGAGACAAGAAGCAGAATGTCTTCCCCGTTCCTTTCCTAGATGTGAGTCATACCGACCAGGGGGAAGGAGAAGGGAATATACTGTGTATCTGCCACTTAATACCCAACGTGCCTCAGGAGTGGTCTCCAGAGGAGGTGAGAATCGTGCATGCATGTCACACACGTCTGAATCCAAGCCATTCCAAGTACATACACTCAGGGTGGGTAAATGGAAATCACTTGAATTTCTCAAAAAAGCCATGTGGGGAGCTAAGTTAACAAGTTGCTTGGTAAGCAAGGGTTGGGAGATCTTAAGCTGCAATGTTGACAGGCTGTAACGTCACCAGTCTCCACTCTAGGGATGCATTTGCAAGAGAATTACAGAGGTTTAGCCTTGGCAGGCAGCCCCTCCTGGATAAACTTGCTGATTCTCCAGACAGCTCTTGGGGCCATTAATAGGCCCATTTTACAATGAGAAAGTGGGAGTCCATGGAGATTGATAATGGCCCGAGGGCACATAGGCAGTAAGTAACAGCTGGGCTGGAAGGACGGTCCTACCAGCTGAGACCTTAGCATGAGCGTGAGCTCTGCAGAATTATGTCTCCCTTGTCACCCTTCACAAAGGAGGACAACAGAGCCTGAGAGAGACTGGCGGGTGATAGGGCCGCTGCCATGCAACAGAGCTGCGATTTGAAAACCTGTGTGATAAGTACATGTGCAGTCTGATCTACCACAGGCCACTCTGTTTATTCTCATGTGTTTTTTGTTTGTTTTTTGTTTTTTAATTTATTTATTTGAAAGGCAGAGCCACAGCAAGAGGGGAAGAGTAAGATTGTCTATCCAATGGTTCACTGCCCAAATGGCCACAACAGCCAGGTCTGGGCCAAACCGAAGCAGGGAGCCAGGAGCTTCTTCTGGATCTCCCACATGGGTGTAGGGGCCCAAGGACTTGGACCATCTGCTGCTGCTTTCCCAGGCCATCAGCAGAGACTGGAACCTGCACCTAAACGTGATGCTGGCCTCACAGGCAGTGGCTTAACCTGCTACACCACAGCACTGGCCCCCATTCCCATCGTAAAGATGAGGAAACAGGCAGGCATGGTGGCACCGCACTTACATCACCACCTGGGATGCCCATATCCTGTCAGTCCCTGGGATAGAGTCTCACCGCTGCATCTGACCCAGGGCTCTGCTGTTCTTCAACCTGGAAGGCGGCAGGTGATGGCTTAAGTACTTGGGCCCCTGCTATCCGTGTGGGAGACCTGGGTGGAGTTTCAGACTCCTGGATGTGGCCTGGCCCAGCCCTGGTTGTTGTGGGCATTTAGGGAGTGAAGCAGAGGATAGAAGGTGTGTCTGTCTATCATTCTTTCAAATAAAAAAGAGAGGGGAAACCTGAGTCTTGGAAGTTTTAAGAATTTGACTAAGCATGGAAAGCCTCTTAAGGAAAATAGCAGAATTCAGTAGGACCTTGCAACTCACCACTTAGGAAACCCACAAGCATTCAGTGTGAAAAACTGGAAAATGGAAGTGAAACCAGTCTGGTTCCAACAATTTACCCACAAGAGAAGTCAGAAGTGAAGATGAGGGGCTGTGCTGTGGCCTTGTGGGTGAAGACTCCGCCTGCAGTGCCGGCATCCCCTATGGGCGCCGGTTCGCATCCCGGCTGCTCAACTTCCAATCCAGCTCTCTGCTATGGCCTAGGAAAGCAGTAGAAGATGGCCCAAGTCCTTGGGCCCCTGCACCAGCATGGAGGGACAGGAAGAAGCTCCTGGCTTCGGATCAGCCCAGCTCCAGCCATTGCGGCCAATTGGGGACTGAACCAGCAGATGGAAGACTTCTCTCTCTCTGTCTCTCTCTGCTTCTCTCTGTGTATAACTCTGCCTTTCAAATAAATAAATAAATCTTTTTGAAAAAAAGTGAAGATGAAAGAATAGGGTCAGTTCTGAAAGATTTTGAAAAGAGATAAAATCTATGAGCAGTGGAGATAGTGCATAGGAAATTAGATACATGATTCAAATCCTAGTAGTGTGTCAGTGTAAACGTGTTAATTGAACGCAGCAACCATTGATGCACACCATTGATGAAGTAGGTGGCACTGGACCTGCAGAACAGTTGACAGCACACAACTAAATCAGTCCATGTGCGACAACACCTGTGTCATTTTCCATCAACAACAGCTGGATCGAAGGCCTTCTGTAAGGCGGGCACCCTGTGCTAAAGACTGGCTCCAGCTTCCATTGGTTAAATCCCCTAGAAATATAGATGGCCGGTGCCGCGGCTCACTAGGCTAATCCTCTGCCTTGTGGCGCCGGCACACCGGGTTCTAGTCCCTGTCGGGGTGCCGGATTCTGTCCCAGTTGCCCCTCTTCCAGGCCAGCTCTCTGCTGTGGCCAGGGAGTGCAGTGGAGGATGGCCCAAGTGCTTGGGCCCTGCACCCCATGGGAGACCAGGAGAAGCACCTGGCTCCTGCCATCGGATCAGCACGGTGTGCCAGCCGCAGTGCGCCAGCCGCGGCCACCATTGGAGGGTGAACCAACGGCAAAGGAAGACCTTTCTCTCTGTCTCTCTCTCTCTCTCTCACTGTCCACTCTGCCTGTCAAAAAAAAATACAAAAAAAAAAAATATATATATATAGGAGTTGTTTACATCTTGATAGATTTTCAGAGGACTTTGAAAGAATGAAAGAAATCATTGATCCTTTCATAACTCAGTCACACGTAGACCTCCCGTCTGACTCCTGGGTCCCCTCCTTCACCTGCTGGTGGTCTCGTGTTTCCCCCAAAGCCCTCTCTTCCCTTTAACCCGGCCAGTTGTCCTCTTAATGTTACTTGTCCCTGCTGCTCTCAGCACATTGTTTCCACATTTATCTCTTCCCTCTCCAGCTTCTGCCTCTCCCTTGTCATTGGCTTCGGTCCCTGTTCCCTACTTGCAGGCTTGGCCCATGTCTGTCACCACGTATTACCAGTTCTTGCTTTGAAACGTTTCTTGCAGCATTGCAAGAGCAGAGAGTAGCTGGACAAGACCTTGGGAATGCGGGAGATGGAATCGGAATGTGTCTGCACTTGGATGTCCAAGTTGAGAAACCTCTCTGGCTCAGTAGCTTTTTGTTTTTCTGTTTAATAATCTTTAATGTGAGAATAACAGCTAGAATAATATATATGGCATATTTTTCCATCATGGCCAGTGTGATAAACCATTAACTGCTCTTACTTAGTGCTCAGAAGATAGCCAGAATACCCAAGTTATTTTAAATGTCTATAGAGCTCCTTGAACAATGCCTGTTACATGAGATAAAAATGATTATTTTTCTCTCCATCCCCACTTAGTTTAGGCCCTCAGTCATCAAGGTCTCCCTGACTCTTCACTCAATCCTTTTTTTTTTTTTTAAGATTTATTTTATTTATTTGAAGGAGTTAAAGAGAGAGGTAGAGACAGAGACAGAGAGATCGGTCTTCCATCTGCTGGTTCACTCTCCAGATGGCCGCAACAGCCAGAGCTGTGCTGATCTGAAGCCAGGAGCCAGGAGCTGCTTCTGGGTCTCCCACGTGGGTGCAGGAGCCCAAGAACTTGGGCCATCTTCCTCTGCTATCCCAGGCCATAGCAGAGAGCTGGATCAGAAGTGGAGCAGCTGGGACTAGAACCGGCACCCACATGGGATGCCAGCACTTCAGGCCAGGGTGTTAACCTGCTGCACCACAGCACCCGCCCTTCTTCACTCAATCCTATCACTACTTTTAGATTTCCTTGAGTAAAGTTTAACACATCCTCTGTCAGGCCTTTCTCGTTCCCTACCCCCTCAGACTCAACTCACTGGCTTCACTCTTTTTTTTTTTTTTTTTTTTTTTGACAGGCAGAGTGGACAGTGAGAGAGAGAGAGAGACAGAGAGAAAGGTCTTCCTTTGCCGTTGGTTCACCCTCCAATGGCCGCCAGGGCTGGCGCACTGCACTGATCCAAAAGCAGGAGCCAGGTGCTTCTCTTGGTCTCCCATGGGGTGCAGGGCCCAAGCACATCCTCCACTGCCTTCCTGGGCCACAGCAGAGAGCTGGCCTGGAAGAGGGGCAACCGGGACAGAATCTGGCGCCCCGACCAGGACTAGAACCCCATGTGCCGGCGCTGCTAGGTGGAGGATTAGCCTAGTGAGCCGCGGCGCCAGCCAGCTTCACTCTTGAAGCTGCATGGGGTGTTCTGCTTTGTGTCCTCCCCCTTGCTCCGAGCCCCTGAAGGCTTACCATACATCTGAGCCCCTGGCTCACTCGCCCTCAGTTCCAAAATCACCCAACAGGAGCCTGCAGGCTGAAAAGGCAGTGAGGTCAGGGTTTCCGTTTTCTTGGCTCCCTGACTGCCAGGATGTGCTGGTAGACACTGCCGTTCCTGTACCAGAGGCCACAGTGGGCAAACCCCTCGGAGGGTCAATTCCACAACCTCTCCTGGCCCTCGAGGGTTCGGGCTTCTCTTCCAAGTCGAACAGGAGGTATCGGAGGGAAGCGGGGCGGGGGGCTTCCCCAGCCGTGGCCGATTCGTCTCTGCTTACATCCTTGTAAATGGCACCATCACTCACTCTCTATCTTAGCTGATTTCGGCCTTCTGTTTTCTTTCAGAACTCTAACAGGTACCAAGCTCTGCGTACATAGCGACTGCTTTCTCGAACTCCACCCCCTGTGGCTGTCCAGAATCCCAGTTGTTCAGTTCTCAGTCCCCAGTCTTCAGATTTCACCCTTGTCTGTGTCTGTCTCATCCTCCAGCTTGAAAGAATCCACCTAGGGGCAGACATCCCACATCCCACGAGCACCTAGGTTCAAGTCCTAGTTCTGCTCCCAATTCCTTTAGCATTAGCAGTTTCTCTAATGTGCACCCTGCAAGGCAGCAGGTGATGGCTCCAAGTAGTGGGGTCCCTGCCACCCATGTGGGAGACCAGGATTGACTTCCCTGCTCCAGCCATTATGAGTATTTAGGCTCTCTCCTCTCTCTCTCTCTCTCTCTCTCTCTCTCTCTCTCTCTGCTTCCTTCACAAGACCTTTCCTGAGAACTTTAGGCCCTGGTTACTCTGTTTAAAATCCCCGAGTCCTCTCTCCTCTCACATGTGCAGCTGTCAAGCTAGCTAAGGAGCTGAGCCTCAGATGTATCAGAGCCCGAGCCCCTCTCTCCTGCGTGAGCAGACACCTCCTACATGTCTGTCTGCTTCTGCCTTCATCCCATTACCGTCTTTTCTCAACAGACATCTAGAGGAATCCTGCTAAAAACCTAAGGTCAGATCCTCCAGGGGCCCAGAAGGGAAGCCCGAGTCCTCTGGCCTCTCTCTCCCTGCCCTTCCGTGGAGCCGCACATCCCGAGACGTGCCACACACGCTGCTGCCCCGGGACCTTTGCACCTGTGTTCCTCCTGCAGGAATGCCTGCTCCTGGAGCAAGCACAGTACGCGGTCCCTCCCCTCCTTCCCATCCTTGGCTCGAGTGTCCTATTCGCAGTGAGACCTTCCCACCTTCTCTTTCCTGCTGCTCACCTACAGCACGCTCCACCACAAAAGGTGTGCGCCCACTTTGTTTCTTGTCTGGCTCCTCCCATTCTTTGAAGACAGGCAGAGATTGTGTGTCTTGCTCAGTGACAGCCCTAGCGCTATTACAAAACCTATGTTCACTCATGGATGTTTGATGAGAAACTGCTCAGCCTGAGGGCCCCCAAATATGAGATAATTATGCTCCCAACCATTCACTCTCGAAGCTTTCGCATCTCACACAAACCTGTTGGCTCTCTTGTCATGAAAACAATGAGGGGCCGGCACCGTGGTGCACTAACTTAATCCTCCACCTGCAGCACCTGCATCCCATATGTGCGCCGCTTCTAGTCCCGGTTGCTCCTCTTCCAGTCCAGCTCTCTGCTGTGGCCCGGGAGAGCAGTGGAGGATGGCCCAAGTGCTTGGGCCCTGCACCCACATGGGAGACCAGGCGGAAACTCCTGGCTTCTGATCGGCACAGCTCCGGCCGTTGCAGCCATTTGGGGGGTGAACCAACAGAAGGAAGACCTTTCTCTCTCTCTCTCTCTCTCTCTCTCTCTCTCTCACTGTCTGTAACTCTACCTCTCAAACAAATAAATAAATAATCTAAAAAAAAAAAAGAAAGAAAATGAAAACAATGAGCAATTCAGGAGTAGCAGGGGAGACTGCCGTGGGGAGGAGCCCAGCATTCTGGGGAGAGGGCATCTGTCAGTGCCTTTCCCAGGGCCATGGTGTGACCACAGGGCAGCCCTGTGCCCTTCTGGCCAGCCTGCGTCACCCCTCACTGCCCCATCCTCTCTCTCAGGCCTCCGTCTCCCCCAGCCTCCACACCACAACCTCACGCCAGCCTGGGCCTCGCCCTCCAAGCCCTGATTTCTCCGGGTCTCGTTGATCCCAAAGATGAAGAGACAAGTGAAATTGGTCTTGCCTTGCATTTGCACAGGTGAGTCTTTGGAACAGTGGTGAGGGAGGGGAAATCCCATCAGGGCCCAAAGGGAGTCCTGAAGAGGGAAAGATAAGAATGGAGAGAAACTCCAAGTGGAGAGGTTGGGGAAGAAAGGAGAGTTCCCAGGTGCCCGGTTCACCCCCTGGCCGGTGCTCTCTCATGACTGATTTAGGCAACAGGTGAAGTAGAGCTGGGAACCTGAGCCGGGGACAGCCACATCCCGGTGGTGATGTTTGCCACGCAGTTGCAGAAGTACCGTCCCCCGTGGACAAGCCGGAGGAAGCTTCCCGGTATCTCTCACTAAGGAGCAAGTCTGGCCGAGAACAGGGTAAAGACGCCCACTGTCTGACGCGAAACCGTCTTAATATTTTTATAGATGAAAGCCCCCAAATGTTTAAGGTAAGACTATCGAGATGAGGTGAGGTGATTTTTGGGCTTCAAAATCGAAAGTCTCATGGCTGTTCTTTTTTTTTTTTTTTTTTTTTTGACAGAGTGGACAGTGAGAGAGAGAGACAGAGAGAAAGGTCTTCCTTTGCCGTTGGTTCACCCTCCAATGGCTGCCGCGGCTGGCGTACCACGCTGATCCGAAGGCAGGAGCCAGGTACTTATCCTGGTCTCCCATGGGGTGCAGGGCCCAAGCACTTGGGCCATCCTCCACTGCACTCCCTGGCCACAGCAGAGAGCTGGCCTGGAAGAGGGGCAACCGGGACAGAATCCGGCGCCCCAACCAGGACTAGAACCCGGTGTGCCGGCACCGCAAGGCAGAGGATTAGCCTAGTGAGCCGTGGCGCCGGCCTTTTTTTTTTTTTTTTTTAATTTTTATTTTTTCAGGTAGAGTTATAGACAGAAAGAGAGAGAGACAGAGAGAAAGGTCTTCCTTCTGCTGGTTCACTCCCCAAATGGCCACTATGGCAGGCACTGCGCCAATCAGGAGCCAGGTGCTTCCTCCTGGTCTCCCATGGGGTGCAGGGCCCAAGGACCTGGGCCATCCTCCACTGCCTTCCCGGGCCACAGCAGAGAGCTGGACTGGAAGATGAGCAGCCGGGACTAGAACCGGCGCCCATATGGGATGCCAGCGCCCATAAGGGATGCCAGCGCCACAGGCAGAGGATTAACCAAGTGAGCCATGGCGCCCACCCCTCTCATGTCTATTCTTAGCCAGCAACCAGCTCCCTGAGTTCTCGAAGGAAAGTACATATATGAAAGGCTTCAGCTGAGTGCAAGGGATACTTGACTGACTGTGGCCCGAGTGCTGTTTGTTTAGGCCAGGCATTCTCCAGAGACTAGGGCCAAAGCCACCCAGCTGTGGTGAAGCCGAGTGGAGCCCAGGGTCCCAGCAGCCGGGGTGTGCACCCACGCCTCGGCGAGGCCATGCCCACCACGGCAGGTGCTTCCGGGGTCGTGCTCTCCTGCAGACCATGGCGGTTCTTTCTGGCAGAAGATTTAACGAAGCCCTCGTGCCACAGGGCACCATGGCTTTGCATTCGCCTAGCTATGCGCTGGTTTGTCCCGAGGCCTTCATGATGGCTGAGGTCAGCAATTTGAGCAGTCAGTGTATTCATGTCAAGCAAAGATGACAAAAAATTCATGCAACTCACAGCTATCTTGAGAATTGTCACAGAATGGATGTGCTCATTATAATTTTTTGAGCAGATTAATTTTCATAACAACTAAAGGGTAAGATTTCCTCCAAGACAGGCTTTGCCAGAACCTAAGCCCTGGAAGGTTGCACAGCCCACAGAACTAAACTGCATATGCAGTCTCAGCAGAAAGCGAGGTCTAACAGGAGAGCGTGTTCTCCACCGTCGATCAGCAGTTCAGAAACTCAAGTGCACGTGGAAAATATAGAAACTGTAGAGATTTACTCTCAACCAGGCCCTGGTCCCACTTGGCTGATGCTAATTAACTCTTTGAAATGACCAAAAAGTCCTTCAGCTGTCTCCTTTCTCTTTTTTTTTTTTTTTTTTCTTTTTTTTTTCCAGGTCGCTAGTGAGTTTTTATTATTAGCTCAGTCATGATTCAGGGTCCCAGGGCAGGTCCCCCTTTCCCACCCTGGGAGCGGGGCGGAGGTACAGGAGTGGGTGGGGCCAGTTCAGATCTTCCCAGGAAACGTGCCTTTGGCTCGGCGTTCGTCCCAGGCGGAGACCCAGGAGATGGGGCAGAGAGACTTGTACACACGCCGGTACCACTCGCACACAGAGATGTCACCCCCTTTTGCGGTCATCGCCTTCTCGCAGAGGTGGAAGTCCAGGTAGTTCTGCCAGCAGTTCCTGGTCTGGTTCTGGTTGGGGAAGCGGCTGTCAAACGGAGCGGTCTTGTAGTTCTTGATTTTGGTCTTGATGTCTTCGGCCTTGGTGCTGACACCTGACGATGCCCCTGAAGCAGCTAGCCGCTCAGTGTGACCCTCAGCTCCTTTCTCTTTGTAACAAAGTAGGGACCAGCCCTCTGCTATGAATTACCTATAACCTTACATGTTTAAAGGGTTCTCCTTGCATGGCTGTCTCAACAAGATGGGGAAGGATTAGCATGTAAGCGTAATTCTTCAATTGCAGAGAACAAGAAAGTAAACTTTAAAAAAATTTATTTGTATGAACGTCAGAGTTACAGAGAGAGGAGGAGAGACAGCAAGAGATCTTCCATCCACTGGGTCACTCCCCAAATGGCCACAATGGAAGAGGCTGGACCAGGCCAAAGCCAGAAGCCTGGAGCTCCATCCAGGTCTCCCACATGGGTGGCAGGGGCCCAAGCACGTGGGCCATCTTCCACTGCTTTCCCAGGAGCATTAGCAGGGAGCTGGATTGGAAGTGGAGCAGCCAGGAATTGAACTGGCACTCTCAGGAGATGCCAGCATTGCAGGTGGGTGCTTAATCCGCTATGCCACGATGCTGGCCCTGTAAACTTTGACAGTTCCATCAAATGAGAAATGTATAAGCCACCGACTTTCACCCAGTCACACGGCTTTCCAGAGCGTCGTAGATTCCCTAAAGAGCTGGAGGCTGGGAGTGTGTCATTCACACCCCACAAGGATTTTATCAGGCGGAAGACTTGTTTCTGCCTTTTCCAACCTTCCAGACACTCTTTCCTACCTGACACAGAGGCTTTATCACGCTGTCACCAAACACAAAGTTCCCAGTTTTCTGGATTCACTCGCTGCTGGTACTGCCACTCGGACATGACCCAAGGGACACATCACAGCCTAAAACAAGATAGAGCACTTCAGTTTCGTCATTTGAAGTAGACAGATTCATCTGATCCTTGAGCCTCATTCCAGTACTGAACCTCACCCCATGCCAATTCCTGGGGTGGGAGTGGGGTGGGAGGTAACAAGACCGGAAGCCAGCCTAGGGGGGCTCAGGAATGGTAGGATGCCAGTGCAGCAGGACGGTGGCCACCTGGGGTGAGGGTGGAACCGGGCTTTCAAGTTCTGCTTCTGTTCTTTTTTTTAATTATGTATTTTATGTATTTGAAAGAGAGACACAGAGAGAGAACTCCCATTCGTTTGTTCAGCCCCCAAATGCCTCTAGCCACAGGCCAAAACTGAGAGCTGGAAATTCAATCCAGGTCTCCCACATGGGTGGCAGGGACCCAACTACTTGAGCCGTCACGGCCACCTTCCAGGGAGCTGGAATCAGGGTCGGAGCCAGGACTCAACCCAGGCTCTCCAACCTGGGATGTCGGTGTCCCAGGCATCGTCCTGACGCTGCCCCAGTGCCAGCCCCGTTTCCGTTTCCTAGCATGGGATGTGTGCACACGGCAACAAGCCTGGTAAAACGGAAGACGTGTATTTGCCCCTTTGCACGGAAAGCTGAGTGTGCTTTTCTTGAAAGCCTTTGTCCTTGAGTGGTCAGACTCCCAGAAACCTGTGCTTTCTCTCTCTCTCTCTCTTTTTTTTTTTTTTTTTTTTTTTTTTGACAGGCAGAGTGGATAGTGAGAGAGAGAGACAGAGAGAAAGGTCTTCCTTTGCTGTTGGTTCACCCTCCAATGGCCGCTGCGGCCGGCGCGCTGCGGCCGGCGCACCACGCTGATCCGATGGCAGGAGCCAGGAGCCAGGTGCTTTTCCTGGTCTCCCATGGGGTGCAGGGCCCAAGCACCTGGGCCATCCTCCACTGCACTCCCCGGCCACAGCAGAGGGCTGGCCTGGAAGAGGAGCAACCGGACAGAATCGGCGCCCAACCGGGACTAGAACCCAGTGTGCGGCGCGCAAGGCGGAGGATTAGCCTAGTGAGCCGCGGCGCGGCTGCTTTCTCTCTCTCTCTCGTATTTTTTTTTTTTTTTTTTTTGACAGGCAGAGTGGACAGTGAGAGAGAGAGACAGAGAGAGAAAGGTCTTCCTTTGCCGTTGGTTCACCCTCCAATGGCCGCCACTGCAGCCGGCGCACCGCGCTGATCCGATGGCAGGAGCCAGGATCCAGGTGCTTTTTCCTGGTCTCGCATGGGGTGCAGGGCCCAAGCACCTGGGCCATCCTCCACTGCACTCCCTGGCCACAGCAGAGGGCTGGCCTGGAAGAGGAGCAACCGGGACAGAATCCGGCGCCCCAACCGGGACTAGAACCCAGTGTGCCGGCGCCGCAAGGCGGAGGATTAGCCTATTGAGCCACAGCGGCTTTCTCTTTTAAAGTTGTGTCGTTGTGCTGTTTTCTAACTTTTCAGATAACGTGAAGTTTACCCAGGAGTTTATCTAAGAATAGCAGAAGGGCAGGCATTTGTCACAGCAGTGAGGACGCCACTCTGGACGCCCACGTCCCATTCCAGGGTGTCTGGGTGGAGTTCTGGCTCTTCTGCTTCCAGGACAGCTTCCTGCCAGTGCACATCCTGGGCGGCAGCAGATGATGGCTCACGTACTTGGGTCTCTGTCAACCACACGGGAGACCCGGATTGAGTTCTGGGCTCTTGGCTTCAGGCTGGCTCAGGCCTGGATGCCGCGGGCATTGGGGATTGGATGAGCAGAAGTAATAGCTCTCTCCCTGCCTTTCAAATAAAAATAAATTTCCTTAAAAAAAAAAAAAAAAAGAAGAACAGAAAGAACTTCCAAGTACCCTTTTCCCTTTTTCCCCTACTGTCCAAAATTCTGCCGCATCTGGACTGTCGTCCTTTCTTCTCCATTTACCAGTGGACTGTGTGCTGTAAGGAAGAGTTTCTCTGCTCCCCCATGTATTCACTTGCTTGCTTATATTGGCCTGGATTCAGGGGTTCCTTTGTTTTCACTGGGTCACAGGGTCATCGTGGGTAACCCCTGCTTGTGCCTACTCTGTGGCCAGCACTTCCGTTCTCTGCTGGATCCACCACAGAGATGCCACCAGGAGACTTGTGTGTATTATCCGGATGGCCCAAATATAATCAAATGGGTCCTTCAAAGAGGGAGGCAGGAAAGAGACAGAGGGGTGTGCTGGGGGACACAAAGGCCAGAGTGGTGGGCTTTGAAGTTGACAGAGGGGCCACAAACCAAGGAAAGCAGGCAGCCTTCAGAGGGGTGGGGAGTGTCCAGCCTGCTCATAAGGCCCAGGAAGCCAACCACTCAGGCTGACCTTGCCAAGGCAACTAGCGGCCGGACTCGAAATCCAATGACTATAGCCATTGATAATTTTGTCTGGCCCATGAGTGAGGCTGTAAATATCCAAATGGTCCTGGGCCGTGGAAGCTCCCAGCCCTACTTCAGAGGCTGAAAAAGACAGGGAGGCCTGTCCTGCCCCAGAGCTCCGAGGGCACAGCCCTGCCCCAGAGCCCCGGGGGCACAGCCCTGCCAAGGCTGTGGCTTTGGGCCCAGGAAGCCAGTTTTGGACTCCCACCTGCACAACTATAGAATCGTAAGTTTTCGTGGTTCTTCAGTCACTAATTTTCTAGTAATTTCTTACAGAAGCAATAGGAAACTGCAACAGTACCAGAAGCAACTTGTAAGAACCTAATAATCTAAAGAATTTAATAATTTCCAAGTTACATGAAAAAAAAAAAATCCCTCCCCCCAAAAAAAAACTCTGGAAAAGTTACCTGTCTCTTCCCTCTGGGCTTAGGTAAATCTCTAAAATGGATTCAGATGCGACCCCAAGTATTTTAACAGGAACAACCGGTTATTTCCTTCTGGCCAGCTAAGAAGCATTTCAGTGTTAGACCCTCTGAGTGAGGATGCTAACACGTTGAGAGGCACACCCCAAAGACTCAGACTCCAGACCAGCTGATGCAAAAGCAAGAGGATTTATTCGGCGTCTGCGCAGATGGGCCTCCTGAACTCGGGAGTCCAGAGAGCGCCCCCAGCACAGAGCCACACAGTTTATATACCCGCAGCGACCAATCAAAAGCTCTATAGTGTCCATGCACATGGCAGTCCAATCCGTGAGCTGATCATGTGAAAGGCATGCGTCCTCTCTCCAATCAGCTACGGGATCACATGGGAAGCATGCACACAGCAGTCCAATCCGCGAGCTGATCATGTGAAAGGCATGCGTCCTCCATCCAATCAGTGAGCTGATCATGTGAAAGGCATGCGTCCTCTATCCAGTCAGCTACGGGATCACATGGGAGGCATGCACACTGCAGTCCAATCCGCGAGCTGATCATGTGAAAGGCATGCGTCCTCCATCCAATCAGTGAGCTGATCATGTGAAAGGCATGCGTCTTCTATCCAATCAGCTATGGGATCACATGGGAGGCATGCACCTCGTCGCCATTTTGTTGTTTACTTCTTCAGCAGTTCCTTCCCCTGTCAGCGCCATCTTGTTCACCCTGAGGGGGACGACGTCTCGCTACCTTCGTTCCCCTGGAGGGAGAGCAGCGTCCCACTTCCCACACTGTTATTTGAGTATTAGGAGGTATACAAACTGGGTTAGGTCTTAGCACAGCCAGGCACAAGTGTCGCAGCTAGCTAAGCATAGGGCCCCTTATTTTATAGCTGCACCTAATTTTAGCTCTGGGGAAAAAGTTTAGGGCTGTAATTTTAAACTTTAATTTTTATTTGGGGCAAAGGTGACTTCTTGTTTTTAATGGTATTAGCTTAGGTCACTCCATCTTGGTTTGATTTTTAAGGTTCTTCATCAAAAAATGTTCTTAGTTTTATTATTTGAAAGACACAGAGAGAGAAAGAGAGAGATCTTGCCTCTGCTGGTTCATGTCCCAGTGTCCACAACAGCTGGGATGGGCCAGACTGAAGCCAGGAGCTTGGAACTCAGCAGAAATGTGAACAGGAAGCAGGGACCAAAGGAGAGCTGGGAGTCGAGTGCAAGGCTGTGTGGGTGTGGCTGTCCCAAGCAGGGTCTTAACTGCTGCACCCAACGCCACCCTTCTCCCACTTTTGCTTAAAGATTTCTATATTTACGGGGCCAGCGCTGTGGTGCAGTGGGTTAACACCCTGGCCTGAAGTGCAGGCATCACATATGGGCACCAGTTCGAGACTCAGCTGCTCCATTTCCAATCCAGCTCTCTGGGAAAGCAGTAGAAGATGGGCCAAGTCCTTGGGCC